CACAAAGTCAAACTGCGAGTGTGCTCCCTGTATGCCGAAGTAACTGCTGCCTGTCAGCCAGCGTGTGTTGACTGCGGCCGTATGCGCCAGAGTCAAAAACTCATGAAACAGCTGCCCACCGAACGATTATCGCTCGCTCCCGTACGGCCCCACGGAGGAATCCTCTGAGTGGTACTGTTTGAGGCCCGACTTGAAGTCCGTGAGGATGACAGGCGTGGCTCTCTGGGGGACCTCCAGGATCATCTGACGAACCCAGGACAGCAAATGACCGCATGTGGATTTCCACTGCTTGGCCTCTTCAGGCCGCGAGGGGCGCGGCGGGAAATATAATACCAGCACAGACAAGGTAAGCTGCCCAAACTCCACTTGGACAAGTCCTCCTCGCCCGCGAAGGGCTGGTGGCGCAGCGACGATCCGTCGGATACTGTTGTCAGAAAAATATTTCTTTACCAGGAAAACAGGGCACACGCAAGACTTATTCACAATCGGGGACCGACTCCATCCAAAGTGGACCACATGATGTTTCGCCGCGGTCGTCTTATGATGCGGTTCTCCGTGCCACGCTCTGATCGCCGCGCCTGGCATTCCAGTGATCCCCACGCCTCGAAAATCCTCGGACAGATCATCAATCCTCGAGGGCGCCAGCAGATTCTGCGGGTTGTAGACTGCAACGAAGGCGTCCCGACTGTCCGCCGCCGCCATCGCCGCCTGCAGGGTGCTGCCGCCCAGCGCCGCCGCGTAGCGCCGCACGGCACCCACTCGCTGGCCGTCATGGCGGCCCCGCGGCTGCGGCTGCCCCCATCGCCCCCAGGATACCTCCTGAAGGACTCCAGAGTCAGGGGGGGCCAACGCGGGGTCGGAGCCTGAAGGATGAGAGGGATGAGGAGGAGGAGGAGGCGGAGGAGGCGGAGGAGGAGGAGGAGGAGGAGGAGGCGGAGGCGGAGGAGGAGGAGGAGGAGGAGGAGGTACTCCTCGAAGACGGGGGAGCGCCTTACGCCGCACGAGGGCGCGGGGCCACGGCGGCCCTTCTGCGCACGAGGGCGCGCTCACGAGAGCGCGGGGTCGAGAGCACGAGGGAGTCCCTGGCCCAGGGGCCCCGTGCCCCGCGGATGGGCCCACAGCGATGAACATCACGAGGCTCGGAGGAGGAAAAGGTACCCACACCTCTGCCCTTCCCACGCTTTCCCCTGTTCGGGCCTCCTGGGAGGCCCTCGCCGCCACCGCTGGATTCGCCACGAAATCCTGATCAGAACGCACCCCAGGAGAGGTCCGGGGAGTAGCGGTATCGGAACCTTTTGGTTTCCCGGTGGAGAGCGCGGGCAAGAGTTGTCCTGGCGATAGGCCCGGCCGTGTGCGGTTGTGGGCACCGCCGTTGCGAAAAACGCCTTCCGCGGATCTCCTCGTGGAGCCCTGGGTGGAGCTGGATGTGGTCACGAGACGTGAGGGACATGTGAGGGGATGGGCGGGGGGGGCGCATACTAACCGCGGCACTGGAGCATCGGGCGGAGCCCCTGTGGGGCCATGGAACGCGTGAGGGAAGTGCCGCGTCGGCACCATGTGTGGGCCTTGGGTGGAGCTCCCTGTGGGGCCACGCAACGTGTGAGAGGGAGGTGCCGACATGGGTGGCGGGGACGCATGCGGGCGGCACCATGTGGGCCTTGGGTGGAGCTGCCTGTGGGGCCACGAAACGTGTGAGGGGTGTGCCGACATGGATGGCGGGGACGCATGCGGGCGGCACCATGTGGGCCTTGGGTGGACCTGCCTGTGGGGCCGCGAAACGTGTGAGGGGTGTGCCGACATGGATGGCGGGGACGCATGCGGGCGGCACCATGTGGGCCTTGGGATGAGCTGCCTGTGGGGCCACGAAACGTGTGAGAGGTGTGCCGAAGTGGATGGAAGGGACGCATGCGGGCGGCACCATGGGGGCTTGGGTAGAGCTGCTTATGGGGCCACGAAGCGTGTGAGGGGTGTGCAGACATGGATGGCGGGGACGCATGCGGGCGGCACCATGTGGGCCTTGGGTGGAGCTGCCTGTGGGGCCACGAAACGTGTGAGGGGTGTGCCAAACTGGATGGCAGGGACGCATGCGGGCGGCACCATGTGGGCCTTGGGTGGAGCTGCCTGTGGGGCCACGAAACGTGTGAGGGGAGTGCCGACATGGATGGCGGGGACGCATGCGGGCGGCACCATGTGGGCCTTGGGATGAGCTGCCTGTGGGCTCACGAAACGTGTGAGGGGTGTGCCGACATGGGTGGCGGGGACGCGTGCGGGCGGCACCATGTGGGCCTTGAGTGGAGCTGCCTATGGGGCCGCGAAACGTGTGAGGGGTGTGCCGAAGTGGGTGGCGGTGACGCATGCGGGCGGCACCATGTGGGCCTTGGGTGGAGCTGCCTGTGTGGTCACGAAACGTTCGAGAAGTGTGCCGAACTGGATAGCGGGGATGCATGCGGGCGGCACAATGTGGGCCTTGGGTGGAGCTGCCTGTGGGGCCACGAAACGTGTGAGGGTGTGCCGAAATGGGTGGCAGGGACGCATGCGGGCGGCACCATGTGGGCCTTGGGTGGAACTGCCTGTGGGGCCACTTAACGAGTGAGAGGTGTGCCGAAATGGCTGACTAGTGCGGAGGGCAGAGGCACGGATAGGACCAGGAACGAGGGGCAGGAGGAAGGAGGAGGAGACGCGGGGCGCTGTCTGTTCAAAACGAGGATCCAACACCCAAAACGAGGACCCAAAACTTGTAAGGGCGCCCCCCAAAGTAACGCTGTTCTTAACCTCGATGGCTTACGCAGGCCGCCAACGCAAGAGGCCGCTTACGCGCGACCTTACGCGGCAGCTTTTGCGCGAATCGACCCGGTTTTGTTTTTGTCGATTATGTCGTGCTGCTCCCCAAGGCCTTCTGGCGGACTACCTTCTAGTCCTGGGTGTTTTCTTGCGCTTCGGCCTCTGGGGAAAGGGGAAGGAGGCACAATCTGGGCTCTGGGCAATCTAGAAAAAACCCAGGGCGAAAATCCAGCCCCCAGGGAGGGATCGGAAGTTCTGGAGCCCACAGATCGACAAAACCACGACGTCGGAGGTCTGGGCCCAACCCAACCATGAAAGAGGGGGTCATCTGTGTCTTGTAAAATGTGGTCCGCCACCGTGCCCTTGGCTTGGAGTGGGCGTATCCTCAGGTCCTGCGCCTAATCCACTGAGCCTCAGTCCTCACTCCTGGGACCGGAAATTCGCAAATCTCTCGGGTTTGGCGCATCTCGTCGCGTGATTTGTTCGGGCACAAGAGGGCCCCGAAACGGGCCAAGAGGGCCCCAAGAGGCCCTCAGGACTGCCCAAGAGGGTCAACACACGCCCCAAGACGCCCAAAGATGGCCTCAAGACGATCAAAGAAGCCTGCAAGACGCCCCAAGAGGCCTCCAAGGGGACTCCCCAGAGGGCCCCGAGACGCAAAGTGCAGTGCGTGTGTGCGTGTGTGCGTGTGTGAGTGTGTGTGTGTCTCTGGGTGTTGTGTTGTGCTGTGCTGTGCTATGTTGTGCTGTGTTGTGGTGTGTTGTGTTGTGTTGTGTTGTGATGAATGGCATTGGTGTGTTCTGGTGTGGTGGCGGTGTGTTGTGTTGTGTTGTGTGCTGCGTTGTGGTATGATGTGCTGTGCTGTGCTGTGCTGTGCTCTAGAGTGGGCTATTGTGTTGTGTTAAGGTGTGCTGTGTTTGTGTTGCCATGTGTTGTGTTGAATGGCGTGGTTGTGCTATGGTATGTGGTAGTGCGTTGTGCTGCGTGCTGTGATGTCGGGTGTTGTGTTGTGTGTGTGGTGTGTTGTGTTGTTTTGTGCTGTGCTGTGCGGTGCTGTTGTATGTTGTGTTGTGGTGTGTTGGATTGTGTTGTGTTGAGTTGTGGGTGTGCGTGTTCGTGCGTGTGCGTGTGCGTGTTCGTGCGTGGGCGTGTGCGTGTGCGTGTGCGTGTGCGTGTGCGTGTGCGTGTCTGTGCGTGTGCGTGTGCTGTGCGTCTGCGTCTGCGTCTGCGTCTGCGTGTGCGTGTGCGTGTCGTGTGTGCGTGTGCGTGTGCGTGTGCGTGTGCGTGTGCGTGTGCGTGTGCGTCATGTGCGTTCGTGATTCGTGTCTTCAGCGCAACATCTACAATAGCAATCGGTCACATGCCAGCCCACGCGACCCCCCGAAAATCGCTGACTGAGCGCAAGGTCCTTTAATCAGCGCAACGTCTGAAATGAAGTCGACGCGTGGTGCGATGTCAGCATGCGGCCTGAGGCTCCTCAACCCCAGCCCGCGGCTTCTCAGAGGCGGGCGAACACAAGAGGGCGCGGCCACAGACAGTTTGTGAAACTCGGGCCGCTGGCGATTCCCACAAGAGACGCCACAGATGAAGAGAAGTCCTTCCCGACCGTGCGAGCCTCATTCAGAACTAGAACCACGCGCGCTCGCTGCATGGCGCTGGCATCTGGTTTCCACTGCGTTGCATCGCAGTACCAGGGTGAGCTCTCCATGCTCTTCATTACTTTGAACTGGTTCGCATTGCACTGAATGGGTGTGCCATTGTTCTGTAATTGATATCTGTTCGACCCGCGTTTGTTGACGCTTCGGTGCACATCGTAATATATGGGCAGCTACGTCAGAGGATCTGTGGAATTCTCACGGCCTGGGGCTTGTTAAGACCTGAGCACGCATTGCAAGCAAAAGCTTGCAAGGGAAATGAAAGGCAAGGCAATGCGATGAAATACAACTAAATGCAAAACAGAACAATGCTCACCGAAACAATGCCGTTTGCGGAGCCGTGCCTGTGCACATCCGTCGGAAAGCAGCAAAATGAAATACAATGCAATCCAATGTACAATAACGCTAGAGGCCGTACGAACCCGAGGGTTCTGGAACCTTAGAGATCCCAGGGATAAGGTGTGCAAAATAAGCAATGGATGCCCCTCTTCCGCCGTCAGTAAACCTCCATATGACGCTAGCGCACCAGCTCGTCCTTCTCCTCGTCCCCTTCATCCTCCTCCTCCCTCTCGCACTCGATCTTCCGGTCGGTGGGCCGGCCCTGGCTGGCGACCATCTAAATTGCCGCGCAGACTTCTCACTGGGACAAAGGAAAGTAACGAATTCCGCTTTCAAGCAATTCACTAGCGACCCTCTCTTAAAGCAGTGCGCGAATTACCTAAAAGCGTCTTGAACGCATAGGAACAAACGCTTTATTAAGGTACGCTGTGCGCTGTGTCCTGGCGACACGTGTATAGGGTGTGATTGCCGAAGCGGTGCTGCTGCACTTTGGCGATTCAGACCCGAAGGCAACCATCACCGTCCGACGCCACCAGCGAGAGAGACCAGCAAGCAGTGACTAAGATGCAGCTGGGAACCCGAGCCGCAAACCGCCTCAAAGAAAAGTGTATCCTTGATTTAACTTCATTGTTCCCGGCAAGACCAGGGAAAGCAGGGATCAAGCGTGCCTTTGCAGTTCGCAACTGGAACGCCGATCGCACAGCCATGCAGCCAGGCGCAAAGCCCGTGAGCGGCACCCCGGAGGGCTGGTTCACACTTCTTGATGCAAACAGCATGACCGCCGAACCATGAGGTCACGCACACTCGCATAGCTAGAACCACGCGCGCGCTTCGCGCGCTCTGGTTCTAGCAAGCCCCAACCGTGGGCGCTTCCATGCAATTCAACGTCAAGAAAAGCAAACTGATGTACGAAATGCAGTCGATGCAATGGCAGCGCAATGCAGCACATTGCCATGGAATCCAGATGCGAGGAAAATGGAACGCGAATAAATGCAAGCAAAGGGTGCGAAGCAAACGCAATGCAACGCGATGGAGTGCAGTTCAAGGCAAATAATAGCAATGTGAAACAAGTCAATGTGAAGCACGAAGCCATACCACTGCACGTACGACGCAAAGCAACGCAGCGCAATCAAATGCAGTGCAAAGAGCCGATCGAACACCAGGACCCCCTGGAACTCAGAGATCCCAGGGACGGGGAGCCCAAATAAAGATCCAAGGGGAACCTAGGCTGAGGGTCGCAAGTGCCATCGGGTCTCTCTCACAAACCAACGGAGGGACGAGAGAGGAACGCGTACTACGCGCAAGGGAAGAGGGAGGAGGGAGAAGCGAGGATACAGGCGAAGGAAGGATGAGAACAGACTCAGGCAGGAGAGGGTGAAAAGAGGAACGCAGGAAAGGAAAGGAAATATTCCGGATCACATAACGTCCACCAACGCATGTTGGCACACTCGCCACACGGATCATGTCCCCCAAAGAACGCGACCTACGGCCCTTGAGAAACGCAGGGTTCACATAGCGTCACCCGGCCAATTCCGGGACGGCCCTCACACGGATCGTGCCCCTCAGGGAGTTCCACTTACTGTGCCAAAATCAAGATTCGTATGGCGTCCCTCCGCCTATGTCGTCACACCCTCCACACGGAGCATGCCCCTCTGGGAGTTCCACGTACGGCCCCACTGGGAGGTTCGCATAACGTTCCCCTGCATACTTCGACTCACCCCTCAAACGGATCGTGCCACACAGGGAACTCAACAGACAGCCCCAGAGACAAGGCTCGCATCCGCTCAGCCCATGTCGGCACAACCCTGACATGGATCGTGGCCCATAGGGAGCTCCACCTACGGCGCCAGAAAGAAGGTTCGCTTGGCGTCCCCACGCCCGTTTCGGCACACCCTTCACGCGGCTCGCGCCACATAAGGAGCTCCACCGACGGCTCCAATGGAAAAAATGGAATGGCGTCCCTCCGCAATTGTCGGCGCACACCTGATGCGGATCGTATCCCACAAAAAGCTCCACCTATGGCACCGATGGGCAACTTTGCATGGTGTCCCCACACCCGTTTCGGCGCCGCTACACGCGGATCGCGCTCCACAAGGAGATGCGGCGTCAGTGGGCACGCTCGCGCGGGGACCAAACCCTTCACGCGGATCGCGCCCAACAGGAAGCTCAGCGTGCGTACGCGCGCGAACTGCGCAACAGCACCCTATCCGGTTTGCCCCGCGGCGCGCAGTACATAAAGAGAGAGCCGCGCCCTGCGCTACACGCAGCTACATAGGGTTAGGCCCCTCGTCAGGCCAAGTGAGTTTTGTCCTTCCACATGCGCACACACATGAACACATACATATTTGCATGCATACATACATGCGCATGTACATTCATACACAAACACACAGATACCAACAATACTTGAGCCGATCAGACGGCACCACAGGAGTGGGCCCTCTTACATGTACCGTAAGGTCTCCGGGGAAGTCTTTCATGGGCTGGTTTAGAGCTTTTGGGGGGTCTCATGGGGAACTCGTGGAGGCTTCCCGGTGCCTCTTGCAAGCCTCTTGGGCCTCTTGGCGGCCTTTTGGGGCCTCTTGCGGGCGTTGCGGGGGCATTGGGGGTCCTCTTGGCGCAGATGGTTCGAAATTTCAAATGAAATACCCGAAATTGGGCCCGGGGGCCCTTCTGGGCTGTCTTCCAAATGATCTGGGGGCCCGTTTGGGCTGTTTTGGACGCCTCTTGGACTGTCTTGGGGCCTTCTTGGGCCGTCGGGCCCTTTCGGGCCGTCTTGGGGCGATGTTGGGGGCCTCTGGGTCGTTAAGAACGGTACGAAGACCAAACCAGCGAAGATGCTAAAGATGAATGTTCTCCGACTGGCATGTGACGATTTTTCCTTCGTGGGGCCCTGTTGAGACCGCTCTTGGAGCGCTCCTGTGGTGACTTCGAAGCCTCTGCGGCCGCTTGACACGCCCGACGGCTGGTGCTGGCGCGGCTGGTGTTTCCGCTGCTGGCGCAGCGAGCGCTGCTGCTGCTGCTGGCGCGGCCGACGCTGGCGCAGCGGGCGCCGGTGCTCCTGTCGCGGCGAGCGTCTGGGGCGCCGGCGCAGGGCTCGCCGCAGCAGGGCGCGGATAGTGGAGAGGGCGCGCCGCGGACGAGGCGCGCCAGAGCCACCGCCCTGGCGCGCCGCTGCTGCTGCTGCCGCCGCTGCTGGCGGCGCAGCTGGCGGCGTCGCTGCTGCTGGCGCTGCTGGCGGCGCTGCCGCCGGTGGCATGGCAGCCGTTTCGTCGTCTGCGTTCGGGCGTTCGCCAGCTTGGTGGAGTGGCGGGGTCGCTGCGGGCATCGCTCCGCTCGACGGCGTTGCGGCGCTTGGGACCTTCTGTTTACTTTAGGTCCTGTTTACTCTCTGGGAGGTATGCCTTACTGGTTGGAAGGTTATTGTTTCTTGTTTGGGGAGTTTCCTTGTTTGGAGGTCCTGCTAACTTGGTGGATGGTTTTGTGCTGTTGTTGGGAGGTCTTGCTCACTTTATGGGAAGTCCTGCTCACTTGTTCGGGGGTCCTGTTCACTTTTTGGGGTGTCCTGTGAACTTTGAGGGAGATATTGCTCACTTATTGAGGGGTACTGTTTACTTTGTGGGAAGTCCTGGTTACTCTTGGAAAGGTCCGGTTAACTATTCGAAAAGTACGGCTTACTTTTGGGGGAGGTCCTTTTTCTTTCTTGGGAGGTCCAGCATAGCATGTTTGGGAAATCCTGTTTATTTTGTGGGAGGTCCTGTATATTGGCTGGGAGGTCCTGTGGATTTGTTTGGGGGTCCTGTTGACTGTTAGGGCGGTCCTCTTTACCTGGTGGAAAATCCTGTGCAACTCCCGGGTCCTGTTTAGTATTTGGGAGGTTTTGTTCATTGTCTGGGAGGTCCTGTTTACTTTATGCAATGTGTTTTTTTTTCCGGGGGCGAGCCTCTTCTCTTTGTTTGGAGGTCGCTTGCGTTTTGGAAGATCCTGTTTACTTTATGGGAGGTCACGTTGTTGTTCGGGAACATTATGTTCATTTGTTGGGGCGTTACGTTTAGATGTTGGGGGGTCCTGCTCACTTGTTTGGTGGTCCTGTTTACTTCATGGGGGTCCTACTTTCTTTCTTGGAGGTCCTGTTTACTTTACGGGAGATCCTGTTTACTTTCTGGAAGGTCCTGGTTACTTTTCTGGAGAGGTCCTCTTGTCTTTTATTCGGAGGTCCTGTTCCCTTGTTGCTGGGGGTCCTGTTCACATTCGAGGTCCTGTTTGCTTGTTGGGGTGTCCTGCTTAGTCTTTGGGAGGTCCTGCTCATTTTCTTGCAGATCCTGTCTACTGGTTGAAAGCTCTTTTCCGATTGGGGAGGTCCTGTTTCCTTTTTCTGTTCGAGGTCCTGCTTACTTTTTGGGAGGTCATGTGTTTTTCTTGTTGGGGGGGGGTCTTGTTGGTTAATCCTGTTCACTGTTTGGGAGGGCCTGCGTACCTTGTGGGAGGTCGCGTTTATGTAATGGCAGGTACTGCTTTATGGTCGAGAAGTCCTGAGTACGCTTTGTGGCGGTCCTCTTGTCCGTTTGTGGAGGTCCTGTTCAGTTTGTTGGAGGTCCGTCTACTTTGTGAGACGCCCTGTGCGCTTGATGGGAGGTCCTGCTCAGTGTTGCGGAGGTCAGGTTCACTGTTTTGAGGGTCCTGTTAACTACTTGGGAGGTCCTGAATACTTTTTGGGAGGTCCTGAACGTCCTAGCAGGTCATGTTCACTGTGTTGGGGGTCCTGTTTCCTTGTTTGGGAGGTCCTGTTTCCCTCTTGGAAGGTCCTCTTTACTTTTTGGGAAGTCCTGTGCCCTAGATGAGAGGTCCTGTTTGGGAGGTCATGATTACGTTTTGGGGGCTCCTGCTGAATTTGTGTTGCGACGTCTCGTTTGCTCTCTGGGGGGGCAGGAGTACTTGGTGGGAAGATGCCGTTTACGTTTTGGGAAGGTGTTGTTTATTGTTTACGAGGTCCTGGACACATTGTGCGTGGTCACGTTTACTTTTGGGGGGTCCAGCATGTCTGTTCTCTGCGTGGGAGGTCTCGTTCGCTCTTTGGGGATGGCCCTGTGCACTTGTTTGGGGATCCGGTTCACTGTTTGGGGGCTGTGTTTGCTGCTTTGGAAGTCCTGTTGACGTTCCAGGAGGTCCTTTTCGCGTTCTGGCAGGTCCTGATGACTTGTTGGGGGTCTTGTTTCCTCTTTGAGAGATCACGTTTCCTTTTTGAGGGGTGCACTGTTTACTTTTTGGGGGGGTCTGGTGTACTTTCAAGAAGGTCATGTTTACATGTTGGGAGGTCTTGTTTACTGTTTGGGGGGGTCATGTTTTCTGCGTGAGGGCTCCTGTTCACGTTTCGGTTGGCCCCGTGCACTTTTTTGGGAGGCACTGTGTACTTTTTAGGACGTGCGTTGTCCTGGTTGGAAAGTCCTGCTCACTTCCTGGGGGTCTTGTTTTCTCTGTGGGAAGTCCTGTTCTATTGTTGGGAGTCCGGCTTGCTTTCTGGGAGGTCCTGCCACTTTCTGGCAGGTCCTCTTTAGTTGCTGGGGGTATGTTTACTTGTTGGGCTGTCCTGTTCACTCCTTGCGGGGGTCCCATTTACTTCTCGGGGCGTCCTGCTCACTTTTCGTGAGGTACTGTTTACGTTGCGGGAGGTCCTGGTTACTTG